CTGGAGCACAACTCCACCCTGTGGTATGCAGGGAGTGCAATAAATAACTTGTCTTCCTCGTTGTCCTTTCCCTGTTTTTTTTTTTCCTCCTTCTCCCACTACCCCTCCCCTTTCCTAGTTGTGTAACAGGGGAAAGTTTTGTTCCACCTCCCCAGTGCAGTTAATCAGGAAGGGAGGCCTAGGGAAGGGGGGAGGAGGAGCCGCTCTTGGCTGTACATTTAGGTAAACAATCAGTGAGTCAGGGAACCCAGCGTGTTTGAACTCTCCTAATGCTTGGCAGATCTGAAAAGCAGCGTCTGCAGTCACGCTAAGCGCCCCGAGAGCCCGTGGGAGAGAGTGATACGAAAATAAGACACCGCAAACTATCAGCGTGTGAATGCTGCTCGCCGTCCGTGTTTTACTGGGCCGCTACACACAATCATACGCTTCATAAGAAAGCAGAAAACCTTTTTCGTTTACTCTTTCTAGACATTGTTTGAGTTTTTTTTGTATGCTATATTCTGTATCTGTATCAGATTACAATACAACCGACATTAAAAACGTTTTCCGATACATCAAACGTTTTAAAATTATTATTAATATTTAAAGCTGCAGCATTTCCCAATGAATTTCAGACAGTTCTTAAATAGTAGCTATCAGCAAGCAATCGGTTATCGGCTGATGACGCTTTTTCATGTGGTTAAACGCCTGGTGCAAATTGATTTGTCCGGTGGTGCATTGCAACAACACGTTCATCTGATACAGGGAAGAATTGAGGTCAATTCTATACCCGACATTTAGGAAACGTAATGTGGGTCAGTCGCTGATCCGTGCAGATTTGAAGCGTGTACTTCCTAAAGCAAATGATGTTCTATTTGTATGTACAAACGGTTATAAGTACGGCGTGGTATGTCTGTAGACTCTGTACGCGAACTGTAGTCTGTTTTGAAATAATCCGACATGCAGTTATCACAGCTTGACTTGTAACTAGAATATATCCACCAGGATATATTTCGGTCTGGATGTTTGAATGTCACGATTCATTTTACTTTGGAATAACTTGTATAGGGCAAATATAGTCAGGGATTTGGGGTTTCTGACGATTTTCCCATGTATATCTTCGTAAGAGAAGCGGTATCGTAATATTGCTGATGTCAGCAAAATTTACCGTAAGTTATCTGAACAGTTAAGCGCTTCTAGGAATACATTAAGTTAGTTTGTGCTGAGTTCACAAGTGGAGGGGTGGAGGAGACGTTTTTCTAGCGGGCAGCGAATGAGTAAATAGCAACGATTTGCGTGACGGGGCCTATCCGCACTTCTCACTGGCTGAAATTCGATCAATGTCTTTGCGGTGAAGTCATTCACAACATAGGGGAGTGGTTGGCGCATGCGCGCTGGGGGGGAAAGCAACAAGTGGCATGTCGGTTTGTTACGGAGAGGAACTGCGGAACGTGGTGCTGACGTCACAGCCGCGGCCAGGTGGCATTCCGAGTGGAGAGAGAGGACGTGGAGTCACAGTCAGAATTCCAAATCAGAATGCGAGTCAGAATGCGAGGCGCGCGCCTTGTAAATTTGAAACCTGCAAGCTACGACCGCTAGTCACACATTTGGCGCGGCGCGGCCGATCGAGCGACAGAAAACCTTTTATTTGCAATATAGCCAAGGCTGGTAAAAGAAGGGGGATTGCAGAGAGCGTGATAGAAGCGGGATAAGGAGACAGGAAAAAGGGGGCAAGCATCATGTCGTCTGCCCAAGTCTCTTCTTCCAGGAGACAGTCATGCTACCTTTGCGATTTGCCCCGCATGCCCTGGGCTATGATCTGGGATTTTACGGAGCCGGTGTGCAGAGGTTGCGTGAACTACGAGGGTGCGGATCGGATCGAATTCGTCATCGAGACTGCCCGCCACCTGAAGCGGGCTCATGGCTTCCAAGAAGGGAGATCCCCCGGACCACCACCGCCTCCGTCGGTGAAAGCGCAGACGGCGATGTCATCTAAAGAAACGGTGCAACTTAACCATGTGGACGGATCTTCTAAACAGCAGCAACCAGGACTTGATCGCTACTCCCTGAACGCAGATAGAGCTCGTTTTGATTACCCGGGCATTTCCGCTCATGCTAACAGGCTTCCGAACGGCCTGAGTGGACCAAATGGGTTCTCAAAACCGGACGACGGACCCCCTGAACTAAACCGACAAAGTCCTAACTCTCGGAGGAACCACGGACTGGTTGCAGTCCCCGGGCAAATGAATGTGCCTCCTAATCTGCTGCCGCAGACAATACTGAATGGCCCTCCTACTACGGCTGCCATTGCCCCGCATGGCTTGGCGAGCCGACCCCCTCCGCCATCCAGCATAGGACCCGCGCTATCTGTGACTTCTCAGTCGATGTCGGACGTAGGCAAAAGACCGGGCTCTGTGTCAAGCACTGACCAAGAACGAGAACTGAAAGAAAAGCAGCGCAACGCGGAAGCCTTAGCAGAACTCAGTGAAAGTTTGAGGAACAGATCCGAGGATTGGGCAAACAAACCGAAAATAGTAAGAGACACTTTGATTACGCTTTCTAATAACACGCCTTTTGATGTGAGGTTTAAGAAGGATCATTCACTGTTGGGTAGAGTGTTTGCTTTTGATGCCATCTCTAAGCCTGGAATGGACTACGAGTTGAAAATATTTATCGAGTATCCAAGTGGTTCTGGAAACGTGTTTTCTAGCGCATCCGGAGTCGCTAAACAGATGTATCAGGACTGCATGAAAGACTTTGGTCGTGGGCTTTCCTCGGGGTTTAAGTATTTGGAATACGAAAAAAAGCATGGCTCCGGTGACTGGCGACTTCTGGGCGATCTGTTGCCTGAGTCAGTCCGGTTCTTTAAAGAAGGACTGGGCGCTGAAATGTTGCCCCAACCTTATATCGATGCCAGCTTCCCCTTGCTGCCTACGGCGTTAGTCAGCATACCTCGTGCCTTGCCAGCTGCGGGTGCTCCCAGGACTGGCATTCGCAAGCGGAAAGCTTCACCCGAGCCCGACTCTGCGGAAGCGGCTCTGAAACTATCCGAGGAACAGCAGAGGCAGCAGTGGATGGCGAGTCAGAGTGAAGCTTTGAAACTGACCATGGCATCGGGTGCTTTTGGCGCTTCTCATGGGGGACCCCCGCCGCTCGGACCTGGCCACCCCGTGCATTCCAGTCGGACCACCCCCCCCGAAACTGCCCCACAGAACGGACAGTCCCCCATGGCTGCCCTCATGTCGGTCGCAGACACTTTGGGTAATGCTCACTCTCCAAAAGACAGCAACTCTGTTCACTCCACGACATCCACGAGGCACAGCAGCAGCAGTCCGGTCTCTCCAGCCTCCGTATCCGGTCAGCGGCGCTTGACGTCCCGCAATGGTGAAATGAGCCTGGCTGGGGCACCCCCTCAATCCAGTACTCACCCTGGTATGGATCAAGTCCACCCTCAAAACATTCCAGACTCGCCCATGGCAAATAATGGACCGCTGTGTTGCACTATTTGTCACGAACGGTTAGAGGATACTCACTTCGTTCAGTGCCCATCAGTTCCCAACCACAAATTTTGCTTCCCTTGTTCTCGAGAGAGCATCAAAGCACAGGGAGCAACTGGCGAAGTGTATTGCCCTAGCGGAGATAAATGCCCCCTGGTAGGTTCAAATGTGCCTTGGGCTTTCATGCAAGGTGAGATCGCAACCATTTTAGCTGGGGACGTTAAAGTAAAAAAAGAGAGAGATCCTTAGACGTATCGCTTCCCTCGAAATACTAAAAACCAGTCAAGTGTAAATACAGGTTGTGAATATTCAAACTGATCGGATTAGTCTAATGTACAGACAATATTTTCTTTTGTTTCTATGTTTTGAAACAAAGGCAGTATCTAACGTTACACTTCATTTGAAGGAGAGAGCCGCTTTGTTTGACTTACCTTCTTGACTGTTTACTACATAAATGTCGATGTCAGTCTGTTGTGTTGGTACGGAGTTAAAGCACTTAGCAATTACTGCTAGTGTTGTTTTTTAATTAATGAACACATGCACTTCTGATTGCCAAGGCCAGTGCTGACGCTCAGAAAAGGCAAACATTATAAAGTGACGTCCGATTTTAATGGGGTCCTGGTTTCTCTTAGATCGGGGTGGGCAGATTTTTTTTGATCCCTCTTTTTATTTTTAGTTATGTTAATTACTATGGGAAGGGTTTCTTTTTATCTTGTGGTCTGAGTATACAAATATATATTTTACTACGTGTTTGTTTTTCCCCTTTTTTGCTTTGATGCACGGATGCTTAAATGTAGAGCAAAAGCTGTACATGAACATATTACGCTCTGTTTGTTTATACATTTCTGTAGTAACAGAAGACTGTAACGTGCCTTGGAGCTGAGTAAATTGTAATAAATTTCCATTGATATTAACTCTTGTTGAGGAGTCGGTTTGTTCAACACGTGCCATATGTCGTCTGACATGGTGTGCTGCCGTGACATTTCATGGGCGGGTAAAATCTGTTACTACTCCGCAGACCACTAGCAAAAGCGGGAAACGGTTATTTTTTTTTCTATGAAAATGAAAGATTCACGTTGTGATTTCGCTTCACTCAAGTCCACGAGGCGTGTTTCGTTTTCTCTTACGTAACCCGCAATCATCTACAGTACTGTCTGTCCTACTGTATTGTAAATGTCTCGATTGGCATGAGTTGCTGAAAACCATATATTCGACAAACTCCAACAATAGACCGAGGCATAAATTCTAAAGACAGTACCAATTAGTTAGTATTTTAAATGTATGATTAAAATCACAATATAGCACATATGTAGGCAATAACCAGCCTTTGTATGATGGAGACACAGGTTGCTGTGATGTATATATGTAATCTCTGGAAATATATATTTGGGAGGAGATAAACTGCAAAATATAGCTGGTATTTAAAAATTATCAATTAAAAAATGAAGACGTTTACATTTTATTTTGTGATTACCGCAGCTGATGTTCAAAAACGAAAGCTGTGCATATGTACAGTAAATAGGTGGATAACATGCTTACAGCTTAATCTATTTCACGTCATGATTTACTCTTCCATAATTAATTCTTTCTCTAAAAATATTCTTGCAAAAGGTTAAAAACATATATTTAAAAGAACATTATTTCACACATAAAACATCTTCTCTGGCTGAGTGATTTAGGCAGAAACAATGTTATCACCCTAGTAATCATACTAAGAAACTGGGGGGGGGACCTTGGAATGACACTTGCAGGGAAAATAACAGTAATGTCCAAGTAGCAGAGGTGAAGTGAGTGCAGCCGGTGGGCTTTGCGAAGCAGAGCCTCTCAGCGCTCAGACCCCATGTTCCCCAAAAACTCATGCATGGCATCATGGCTCTTCGCCTGGCAGCTTCTTGCCTGCCTGTAATTTTGTGGCGCAAACATGTAATTTCAGTGATGCGAATGGTCAGGCAGTGAGCATGCATTCGGCTCGCATTGACATGGGGCCAGTTTGTGTGTCTTTTTTTTCATTCATTGGATTCTTTGCTTAAATGCACGCAGTCTTTACAAGTCATTGTAATAGACTACTGTTTTGTAAGTATGTACCCTAAACCTCTGCACACTGCTCCATGTAATTATTCGAAGGATAAGAATTCTTTGGTCTTTTTTTAAATTAAATGTTATATAACATCAAATGATCAATGTAGGCTTTTGAGGGGGGTTGAGAAAAAGGATTGGCACAACATAATTTGAGGTAATTAAGAGCAATTGTTTCATCTTAGTTAATCTCTCAATGCTGTGTTTTCTCATTCCCTTAGTAATCCATGCCAACTGTCTGCATTCATAAAATTGCAGTTCCCCATTTTGGTTTGTATTTTTGAGACTTCATACAGTCCATAGGTTTGCCTCACCCATGCATTCTCTGTGTGATAGCACAGGCACAGGCATGAGGCGGCCTTCAGGGGAATCACCCCTCGCCTAGGATACAGCAGACAGTCACATGACAAAGCCGACAGTCCAATTGGCTGGCCCACAGGAAGGAGTGCTCGTGTTGTTTGCCTGTTGCCATGAGTTAACGCGGTACTTGGACGATGTCACAATCTTCTTTCACAGTGACATTCAGTGGCCTGTAGATAATTCACACATTTTTCACCATGGCTTATGGCCTGGGGAATTAGTAACAAGGTACTATAAAGTTACTGTGCTCCCAAAGTGAAGTCAAAATATTCAGATACGGTCAAATTTAATCCTCATTTGTCATTGTCAATGAATGAATGTTTCCCTATCTGAAAATGTGCTACAGTTTGGTTATAGTGATGGGGGAGATATAGATTTATTAATTAATGGTCTAATAATGTGTAGTATGTGTAAAGGATGAGGTTAACTCTAGCTTTTGGTAGCAACTATGGATTCTGCTTCTGATTTATAGCCATGCAAACGTTCTGGCGGAATGTGAGACTCGGATGTAGCCCCCCCCATTCAAAAGTGTACTGCGGGGTCCTGTGGTGTCACCCTGACATCCTGCTTCAGCCCCGGGAAGTGAAGCTGAGTGCCACCATTAAAATGGGGTAAACAAACAAAAGATAACTGGTGAGCCCTATCGCTGCCGGGGTCACACACGGCTGGCTCCATTCTCGCGGGGGTGGGGATTGTGGAGGCCTGTTGCCATGGTTGGGGGTGGAACGGAGGGGGGCAGGGAATTCTCCATCCCCCCTCCCGGTTCCATCTGAGGCCTAGCACTGAGACATTATTTTTAGGAAGCTCTGCAAAATGCCATCAACCCCATTTTAATATGGGCTTTTCAGCTGTACCAAAGCATATTACATTTCAATGTGCAGGATGTTTGGAGTGTGCCTCTGTACCCATGATCAGAAGGTCGCGGGTTCACATCGCGTGACTGGTAGAGTGATGTCACCGTATGGGCTCTTCGGTGAGGCCCTTAGCCCCAACTGCTCCAGCAGAGCGGAAGGAAGCGGGGGTTCCCAGACAGGGAGGGTGCGGGGCGAGCAGAGAGGTCGGATTTCAGGGGCCGCGGTTCTGTCTGGGTGGAGTGTGATCTGCATGGCCGCCAGGTCCTGCCTGCTGCGGATCCCGCTCGTGTGGCTCATGCATTCCCAAAAAGCAGAATTTCATGGGCGCTGCCCTGCATTTATGTAGCGGTTTGACGTCTGGCATGAAAGAACGCGGAGGTGGCTGCTTTCTTGCCGAAATGGACCAAAATACTGAAGGTGCCCTTGGTTGTCACGGCAATAACTTGGGTTACAGCTGTGTGCTCTGTGCTTGATGAGGAGAGGCGAGACGCCCCTGAATACTAAACTGTTCATTAGTGCGCAAAATTATCCCCACCAGCCCATTTTATGCGTCTCATGGCTCTTTTTTTTCTGTACTGAATTGCAGCCAGTTTACCTGCCCTATATTTCTCATTGAGCACTGGCTTTGACAAAGCGCTCCTCTTTTTTTTTTTCCACGCTTATAAGATGGGGTCATCCTGTGGTATTGTGCCTTACGCGCGCCGCGTGTAAACGTTGACCTGTCGTGCGCGGGCAGTACGTAATCTTGATTCATTTGCATTGCCCAAACCATGTTAGTCAGCAGTGCACTTCCATTCCCAGTGGAGATGAGTCATCTCAGCTTGAAAGCGGGTTAATGTGCGGAGGAAGACGCCGTTAGCTGGGACAGCGCCGTGTGCTTATGCCGTGAAATTCGGGGGGTGGGGGTATTGCTCTTAGGGTTGCCTTGACTAACTGAGCTGATGCTTTCAGAAGAGAACAGCTGCTTAAGAAACCTCTTCTGCTGGGCTTAAGCTGCCCTCTCTGAGGGAGGAAGGCGGATGGCATTACTGCACCATACGAGCCAGGGAAGAAGGAGCCGTCTGGGGGGGTACAGGGTCCGCAGCTAAAGCAGCCTCAAGCAGTGGTTGAGGAGCCCACATCTACCCAGCTGCAAGCACGCTCTACACACACGGGCTGTGCTGTAAGGCAAGGTGGACGAAGGAGAGAACCGCAGCCCGTGCTCAGTGTCCGGCACCTATATTGCCGCTTCCTGTGGCAGGGCTGCTCCCCAGGGCTACATGAAGCTGGGAAATCGATCCAATCGCAAAAAGCCCCCCTTTTCCCATAGTGAGGATGCACAAAGCAGTTCCCCAGCCAACCTCATTCCACATCTCTGTATCAATAAGAGAATCATGTGTAGGATGGCGCCCTAGTGAGCAGCCCTGGATCCTCCCCCATCGGCCTCGCCAGCGTACTTTCTGTTTAACAAAACCCGGCTTGTGGGCAGCGATCATCTGTTTCAGTTTTACATCCTGAAATCTCCGCAGTCTGCTCCCCCACCCCCAGCCCTCCTCCAGCCCCCGGCTGCGAGAGGGGAGAAGTTTCCACCGGATAAAAATACCGGCTATAAATCCCGCCACTCCAAAGGTTACTCTGCGGTGCTATCCCGTGCTGTTGCCATTGGTAACCAGCCTCGCGCAAAACACTATTTATTCAGGAATTTCGCGGACGCGGGAGCCAGGAGGCGGCGGCGGCGCGGCGTTAACCTCTGCGACGCCGGACGCTTCTCACGGCTGCCGACGCGTTTTTATTCATCTGTCCGTGCATCTCTCTGCATTACAACTCGCCGGTTTAATACAAATATATAAATATATAAATATATATATATATATATATATATATATTTCACGCAGTAAAACTGAACAGTGCAATTCCGTGCATCGAAATCCATTCTTGGATATTAAATACGCGTGGTTTTAGAATCTGTCGTGTAGATAAAGGATTTCTAATTTAGATTGTAACTGACGATTTATATAGATTTTATTTAGATTTGAACTAACAGAAATCTCGTCCCATGTCACTTACAAGAAATAAAATGCAGTCACGATGCTGCGCCGACACGCTTGAAATGCAACGGGCACGCGACAATAAGTGCAAATCGCTTCTTTCATTCCGCCTCTGCGTAAAAGGGAAGAAAAAAAGACTTGTGCCGTGGCTCCTTGGCAGCTAGGAAAGGGTTACTCCCCGCGTTGTTTTTGCGCTCGCTGCAGCTCAGAGCTCAGCCATTTACAGACAGTGATGTCAGCAGTATCTCTTATGGCCCCGGGGCCGCTAGCAGATAATGCATGCAATCTGAAACATTCCTTTCTGGCAAAGCAGCTTCTCCGAGGTGCAGGAGTGCACTTCCTGACCCTGTCTGCGCGACTAAAACCCGTGAAAGGGAATTGATTCCCCAACCTTTCTCATTTCCCTTCTTCTCTCAAGCAAAACAGAGCTGAAAAGTAATGTTTCGTTACATTATTTAGATGCTTTTCTCCTAAAGCGATTAACCCCGTTAATGCCTCCTTTCTTTACTGGAGCGGTTCAGGTTAAGTGCTCTGCTCCCGGGTGAGAAAGGCACGGCTGCTTTTGACGGACTAGCCTGCAGCTTGCAGTTTCCCGGT